TTGCCTTTTTTGGAGTAAAATGATTAAAAAATACACATAAATATATACATTAAAGTTCAGCCAATGCAATGATTTGGGTGTTATATTTAACTTGAAATTTAATTTTAATGATCATATCTACTTTTTCTATAGCAAAAGCAAAGTCAACAAGGCCATGGTTGTTACAAAATACCATATCTAGGAACTTATGTATGTTAATGGCTTATCTTTCTCAAATAAAGTTTCAGAAAAGTATATTTTATTTTTGAAAGTTTTTTTTAATAAAGAGAATCATGTCCTTACAAATTTGCTAATATTGCTTATTTTTAGCAATTTTAATGATTTAAAAAAAATAATAATTCCAATCAATTTAAATTTGGTTTGAAATACAACAAAGTATTTTGCGTATTAGAAATATTAAATTGAATCTATTAGCTTGAAATTGAAAGTAAAATAAAAGCTTCAATAAACAGTTTTAATTTTTAAAAATGCATTTTAAACCTTAGGAATCACTTTCCTTTGGAGGTACCTATATTAATACTATGACTAATAACCATAGAATGGCAGTCTGAATAATTGAGATAAAAAGCTGGTGAAATTAAGCTGAAATAAATATGTTAAAAATTAATAATGGCTAACAATGCTTTAATAATAATATTACCACTACAAACAACCATGGAATGATGGACTGAGTAACTGCAATGAAAATAACTAAAATTAAGATAAAAGAAATACTTGCAAAAAAATTTATAATGGTTGACAATTCTTCATCTCATAAAAATTTAAGATAATATTATTAGAAGTGTAAACAACCAAAATGAAGATGAAAGAAATACTAGTCAAAAATTAATAATTATTGGTAATGCTTCATCTAAGAAAAATTTCAAGATGCAAAAAAAATAAGATAATGTATGAATCAAAGATTAATAATGGTTGTGACAAGGTTTCATCTAATAAAATTCAAGATACTACTACTGATGGCTGTAGAATCTAGGTTGTATTATTTGCATTGAAAAGTAACTAAGATGAAAGAAATTTATAAGCGTTGATAATGCTTTATCTAATAATAATAAAATTCAAAATAATATTATTACTGCTAAAATAGAATAACAGTCTGAATAGTTGCAATGAAAAGCAACTAAGATGAAGAAAGAAATACTAGTCAACAATTAATACTGTTTTTTGGCAATGCTTCATATAATAAAAAAAAAATATCTCTGGATAATATTACCACTACTACCAACCACAGATGGTCTGACTAGATACAATGTCATTTTTCTGGTAGTAGTATTAATATTACCTTGAGTTTTTATTAGGTAAAGCATTTTTATCCATTATTACTTTTTTAGTAGTATTTCTTTCATCTGTAAGAAATTCTGTCGTCTAAATTTTTTTATATTAAATATCCAAATGTTCAAATTCCAAACAATAATAAAAATAAAGAAAACATGGGTATGCCTGTTAAATAAACCATTTATTCTTACAAATATATGTACATGAATTTAAAAAGAGTAAAAAAAAAAAGTAAAAATTGTCTTTAGTTAAGTTAGTCTTTGGGCAGTTTGACCACAGAAAAATCTGTGATTTAGAAAATATTTTGATCATCAGTGAAGATTCACTGATCATCTAGGCTGTTGGAGATGACTTGTTTGAAGTCCTCAACAAATTTCTTTCAGCGTGCACTGAAGAGGAGGAAAAATATATATAGCATTGTCTTCTTTTGAATGGCTTGGTGACAGTCACATTTCTGCTGCTGAAAGTCAGAATCTGTGGGATATTTATTAGAAACTTTTTCCTGAAAGTATGCTCAAGAATAATATGGTTTTAATTTTCACTGGTCAAATATTCAACATGGTGATGTTAATTTCTAACCAACAGTCACTTTGATTGAAACAGTGTGTGTTGTATTGTGGGATCTTTTTGGCATGTTCGTAAATATTGTCTGTTATTGGGTAGAGAATTGGGCATGATTTAATATGGTATGTATGTGGATATGTAATTGTGTTGGGAATAGCGTCTCTTTCCTCTACATCTTCATTTTAGTTAATTTTGATTGCAGCTACTCAAACTGTCTTTCTTTAACCATCAGGCAAAACTCACACGTACATGTTCATTACATTATTTGTGATCTGTATTGTTTATTGATGGCCATAGAGTTACAGAGATGAAAAGCAATTAAAGAAAAAAATAGCTGTCAAAAATTAATGATTGGATGAAAATGATTCATTTAATAATAGTAAAATTCAAGATAATATTCCAAGTAACAATGATAGTTTGAATAGCTGCAATGAAAAGCAAATAAAATTGTGATAGAAGAAATACTTGTAAAAAACTTGATAATGGTTGTTATACTCTGCTGCAAGTTAAATCTCTTTCTGATTTACTCTACATATTGGTCAGTGGAAGGGGGATAGATGACTGAAGACTGCTTCTTTAAAGTTACTGTTGGCTGAAAACTAACCCAGGTGATAGGTACCATATCTACCAAAGTTTTTGTTATCAACTTATGTTTATATTGTTTTTAAGTAATTCAAAATTCATGACTTTTCAGCTTCATGCTAGAACAATTTGGTTGGTCTATTATTTTTCCTCTCTATTATGTGGTATATCCTATACTATGTCCACAAAAAAGGGGATTCAATGAAACTGATTTTGTAATTTTCAAAATTAAAAGTATGTGCAAAAATGCTAATAAAAAATTAATAATAGCTGAAATGTTTCATCTTATAATGATAAAATTCAAGTAAGTATTATTACAAACAACCACCTTGGTGTATAGATCAGTTATAATAAATTTAGTATAGGAGAGAAGGAAATTGAACATGGAATAGGCTGTGGTAGAGATAGTTTCTCCCAATACCACAGATTGCTACAAAGCCAAGACATTAACCTGAAAATTCAAGTCATGTTTTTAAATAGCTTCATCAGATCAAGACTTTTATATGGATATCATGCATGGTGCCAAACCCATTCAGAAATATCAAAACTGCCATTTGTATAAAACTACTTTCAAAGATCAATGGTTAAAAATATCTTTCAATTAGTGAAGTTTGTGGGTCTTCAAGAACATCGTGGACTGGTGCTACAGAACCACAACCTAAGAACTGTACCAAATAACAGAAACCACCTCACTTGAGGACTGTCAACAGTGGAAACAACTAAAATGGATAGTACATAACTCAAAGACAAAATAGTGCCATAATCAAGATGTTAATGTTCCAAGAACATCCAAGACAATTATAGATATGGAGGAGCCCAGGAGGGAAAACTAAAAACCATATTGACTACGTAACTATCAACAGGAATGCAATGTAACACTGCAAAACCTACCCAAGTGCCGACTGTAGAAGCGATCATCACCCTGTTATATGTAAACTAAGAGTGAAACTGTGGAAATTAAAGAAGCCTAACGCAGTACCCAAATTACAATACAACAAACTTCTGAGCGACCCGAACCTGAAGGAAAAATATGTATAGATGATGTTAAAAGAATATATGAGGGACACAATGGAAACTTGAAATGGGACGCACTAAGAGACGCTTTAGTGATATCAGCAAATGATATCATCCCAAAGGAGAAGGGACAAAGAAGAAAAAACAAATGGATGACTGATGAAATTCTCAGCATGATGTAAAGGAGACAGAAAACCCTGCCAAGATACGAAACGGAATACAGAAAATTACGCAATGAAATAAGGACCAAATGCAGGCAGGTTAAAGAAGAGTGGCTAAACAAAAAATGTGCAGAAATGGAGAGATTGAGTACCACCAACAAAGGAGATATGCATAAAGAAATAAGGCAACAGGACAGAAGACATGCTCATTAACAGGCTGTTTAAAATCAAAGGATGGAACACTCATATTAGAGAAGGAAAAAATTCTTCAATGCTGGAGCGAGTATATTGGAGAACTTTTCCACGATATGAGAGAACAGCCAGTAATACACAGAACTACCGACGGACTGCAAATTCTGAAAACCAAACTAGAAGCTGCACTGACCAAATTGAACAGAAACAAGGTGGCAGGGCCAGACAGAATTGTAATGGAAGTACTGACAGCCTTAGATGACTTTGGCATAGGCAAGATCACAGAAATAATAAATTAAATCTACAACAGTGGGAATATACTGGAAGATCTCAGCAGATCTATTTTCATAGCATTGCCTAAGAAACCAGGCACAAATAAATGTGAACTCCACCGAAAAATCAGCCTAATGAGCCATGTAACAAAACTCGTCATCCATATTCTGATGAACAGAGGACACAGCAGAATCAGGACAGAGATAGGACAAGAACAGTGCATGTTCGTTAAAGATACTGGAACAAGGAACAATATTCATGCTCAGAATCTTATCAGAAAGAGCAATACAAATGCAGAAGGATGTGTACCTATGTTTCATAGACTATGCAAATGCCTTCAACAAAGTATGCCACAAGGATCTGTTGGAACTGCTCAGCAATCTAGATATATTTGGGAAAGATATTAGAATAATCAAGAACCTATACTGGCAGCAAACAGCATGCATTCACAGAGAGAATGTGTTCAACAAATATACAAAAATAGAAAGGGTCTGGGGGAAGTGGCAGAAGGACAAAACCTATTGAGAGCCACAAGGGGGAATTGGAGAGCCATGATTGCCTACATCCTGAAAGGACATGGCACAAAAAGAAAAGAATGTTCCACACTACTTCAAATAAAATACATGAAAGAGCAATAATAGGTACTGTGACTTGAAAAACCTGTTTTTTTGAGAAAGATTTAATAAATTTCTACTGACAGTAGCACTGGCTGCTCAGTCAATGTATGCCAAAGTTTTCCTTATAAGGAAACTGCTTATAATGCAATTACCCTTACCATAGAATGATGATCTGAGAAGCTGCAATGAAAGGTAACTAAAATTCAAATGAAAGAAATACTGGTTAAAAATTAATCTTTATCTGTACAAGATAATTTTATCATCATCAAATCTTGGTTTAATTCACTATCATTGCCTAAAATTTATTTTTGTTTTTAAATTCCAGAAAATTAGAAAACTCTGTGGAAGAAGTCCGGACAGACGTGATCTCAAAACATTGCCGTGTAAATTCAACAGATGTGGAGAAAATGGCCCTAACTTTAAGTCAGCTCTCAAAATGTATTGCTGAACAGAAAAGTATGTAAAACATTTGTAACAATATTAAAATATATGTTTCCTTCTCTTTATATATATATATATATATATGTATGACAAAGTGTAAAATTTTTTCTTGTGATATCATCAGACTAAATTTATTATGTTGGTGTGACTACATGCATGAACAAGGAATACTGGGAATTTAAAAATTAAATTTTTCTTTTTGTTTCAGTATTGGAGATCTAATAACGAAAGTGATAAAAAGAAAAATAATCTAAATGAAATAGTCTAGATAAAAAAAAAATTATTCAAAATTCCCAGCATCCTTCATTCGTGTACATGTGTAGTTGCACCAACATAACAAATTTAGTCAGTAAAGTATGAAAAAGGCAATCACAATTATTAAATTTTTTCCATTTTGGCATACATTTTTTCCCAAATATGGCTCTCTCTTTTATATATATATATATATATATATATATGTGTGTGTGTGTGTGTGGACAGAGAGAAAGAAAGAAAAATATATGTGTAAAAATTTCAGATATAGTATATCTGTAAAAGGATAATATGAATGAAGACAAAAGGAAAACTTAGCCAAAGCTTTTCATCCTCTGAGGGACTTTATCAAGGCAAATGCAAAGATTTTATTTTGTAACAAGTATTTATATACAAGAGCAAAAATGTTATTGGTTTTACAAAATTTTTAGTTGTACAAATGCTAAAAAATATTCATCAGGTTAGCTGAAAAAATAAAAAAAAAAATTTTCAAATCATCACTTACTCACTTTGATATTAAATCATGTCACTTTGTGTCCTTTTTAACTTGCCTGACATTTCAGCTGACCTGATGAATATTTATGAGCATTCTGATACCTAAAACTTTGAAAAAAACAACAACATCCTTCACTTTTGAAAAAAACAATAACAACCTTCACTTTTGCTATGATAAAATGAAATTGAAATCTATGTTTCCTTCTCTTAATATTGATAATTTAATTTTTATTTTCTGTATAAATGTTGAATGCAGTAAGAATAATTTAGCATGATGTTGCCGAATCTCATTCTTCGTTGAATTTAGAATGTAAAAAAAAAAAAATGTCATTTTCAATTATGTTGTGTATCAAGAGGAATTAAATTGAAAAAATTTCTGTTTATATATATTTTTATGTCCTTCATTATAACTTGACAGTGTTGGTAGCACTGTTATAAACTTTGCACCCCCCCGTTGTATACTTTTGCAACCCCCTCCTCAGTTGCATACTTTTATAATCACCCTGGTGGGTCTGAGTGCATAGAGAAAATCAATGAATGATTTGTTTGCATGAAGAAAAATATATATGATATGATGGATGATTACAGTATTGATGTGGAATCAAAGATTCAAAATTTGGTAATGTTTAACCTTCATGCCTGCAAATAAAAGGTGGGTCAAAAGGATAGTTATTCCCTAGACACAGCTATTATTGTATATACTTTTAACTCTTTTGGCAATGTTAATTGTTTTAAAAAGCAATGATTAGAATTTTAATAAGACACATGAAAGTAGATTTTTATACATTTTCTTTATTCTTGAGACTTGACAAGAAAGATATTAAACATTATTTATTAGATTGTTTACATACAAGTATGATTTTATATTTACAAGATTATAAAAATATGTGAACCAACTGTAATAAAATATTTATTATTTAACATTTTACAAAGAAATAAATATGAAAAGAAATTTTTTTTATTCATAAATTTATAAAAATTTCCATGAATAAGAAAATTCAAATAAACACAGAATAACAAGTAACTAATAAAATTTGAAAAAGTGCATTTTCTGGGCATTTCTTTCATTTGTTCTCATCAAATAAATTCAGTAAAATAGGTTGAGAGCATTTCTTCCTGTTACATAATTTCATAATTTTTTATGATTATTTGAATAAAACCATTTCTTTTCGAACTTATTTCTTTATAAATTGGTAAATAATAAATCTTTATAAAAGATAGATAATTATATAGCATTGTACTTGGTTCACATGCTTTTAAGATTTTGTAAATAAATATTGCTGTGTAAGTCAATAGTGTATACAGTAATAGGAAATAAATATCCTTTTGACATACTGTTTTTTGTGGGTATGAAAATTAAACAGTGTCCAAAATTTTATCATTTTTGGCATCAAATCACAACAGATTTATTTTTGTTTAATATTATTGGTTTATATAGCATTGATTTATATCCTGTTTAATATTATTGGTTTTTGAATTTGTATTAAATTGAAAACATTTTTTGGTTAATCATTTCATCCAAAGTAAATCCATAAAGGCCACTAAGATGCAAGGGGTTACTGAGAGTGAATTAAACAGAAAGGACAATAAAAGAACAGGATTTAAGCAGAGAGAGATTGACATTGCATTTAAATTTTTAAAGATTGTAGTTAACAGGCAAGCAAAATGTCAGAAGACAGTTTTGTAGGCAAGAAGTTTGAGAGAAGAAACTATTAGCATAAAACTTATAGTTACTATCAATTTCAACAGTGAGTTTAGGTGACCTAACTGCCAATCTAGTACTGAGCTTAAATTCATGTAGTCATGGTACCATCAGAACAATTACCATGAAAATATTTATAGAAAATACCCAGGAAGGGAGTTAATTTTCTTGACTGAGAACACAACAGTTTCCAGATATTCAATTTAAATGCAAATTTTAATGCATAGAAAGTAAATATATGGTGTGCAAAAGTATAATAGCATCAAGTTGGCAACTGTAACTAATGTAAGTTCTGCTTCTGTTGGAATACTATAACATATTTTTGTAATTATATCTCATCTTGGTTACAATGCTATCATAACATTCAAATAAAAGCATGAATTTTCAAAAATCTATTTATGTTAAAATAAAAAATAACTTAACATCAGGATAAGGCAGTTGAGGTTTCTGGAGAAAGGAGGGCTTAGAAAACCTGATATTCATGACATGAGGGACAAAGGAAAGCAGTACTTAACATACTTGATGAGCTTGAGGAAATGGATGGTAAAACAGGGTTTGGGAGTAATAACAAAAAGACAAAACTTATTAATAGCTACAAGGGACAGGAAAATGTGGACGGCCATGACCGCCTATCTCCTGAAGGGACACAGCATATAAATGAAGAATTTAGAAAAAGTAAAGTCATAGAACAGTTGTTCCCAAAACAGTGGTATACTCTGAGATGAAATTAGGGGTGCTATTATATTGTGCACCCGTTTCTCTAAACACTATATATTTACTTCCCACATGTTAAAATTTGCATTGTAACATATAAATTGAAGATCTTGTCTTATTAACAGATTAAAAAAAAAAACAATTTCCCTAGAGAGGACATTCATTAACTTGTTGTCAAAATAAATTATTGATATGTTCAACATGGCACGTCTTTAATTTTTTTTTACTGTACCTTGTATTTATAAGTAAAACTAAAATAAATGTTTTAGCAGTGTTATTATAAATTTGCACCCACTTCAAAACATTATATATTTACTTTACATGATTTAACATTTGCATTTATGACATTTAAATTGAATATCTGGAAATTATTATATTTTCAGTCAAGAAACTCAACATCAAAAGGTGTTTTCAATCAAAATTTAAGAACCAATAGTAATATTAAAGAGGTTTGAAATCCATTGCAATTTGATGCCAAAAAGAACATTTTCAGTTTGAATCTTAGATTCCACATACACTCTGCAAAGTAATCAACCATCATATTCCCCCCCCCATTCAAACAAAGATCAATTTCCATTTTGCATCCAGGCCTACCCAGTTGCTCAGGGTGATTATGGAAGTATGCAACTGGGAGGTGAAAAAGTATAACAACACTAAAGTTAGGTTAGGTGCACTAAAAGAGCAAGATTATATTTCAAAATGTACAAAATACAAACTGAAATTCTTAGTAAAATTCCTACAACTGGTATCTTTGAATTTATGTAGAAAAATCAACAAAATATTTTTAGATGTTCTTATATGCACCATGAGTAAATGGAAACTCCTACTTTTGGTAAAATAAAAAACTTTAGCTTTTTATCTCTCTTATTTTATTGTGTGTACTGGTTACAGTCTCACATATTCCTTTCTTTGTAGTCTTGAACTCAACTACTTTCAAATTAGTATGATACAAGATAAGCACTGTCATTCATGCTAAAATGTGTGTGACATTACAGAAACATGTAGCTGTTACAGGTACTTCATTACTACTACACAGGCTCATTGTTGAAAAAGAACCCATAGACTTTACCAATGAGAGAAGTCAAGCAGTTATCTCAGGAAATGCTGAAACTGGAAACTTGAACTCCTCTCTGAGGGTCACCTACACACTTTTCCAAAGCCTTGCATATCCCAAGAGCTGAATAAATGTATGCATGTCTGGTTAAGGGCTGACAGAATGAGGTGCCCATTGGAGTATCCTTATGCTGGTCCTTTTAAAATACTGAAAAAAAAAAGTCAAAAGTATTTTACCATTCAGCTCCTCCAAGAATCTTAGAACAGATTGAAGACTGAGACCCAACCAGAACAGCCTCCAGCTGAATCAAAAACGGAACAAGGACTACCAACACTAACACTACCAAGGAAAATGAACCTGTTGAGAATGACACTTCAAACAAGGACTCCTTAAGTCTGCAGCAATCTCAGACCCAACCTCCTCCTAGAATTACAAATTCATGAAGACATTACATTTTTGTCTTTTACAAACAAAATGAGTTACAACATTTTACTTACAACATTTTACTTAGAAGCTTCATTTCTGGGAAGGAATATATCATGACAGTTAAAGAAAATTAAAAATAACTTCTTTTCTCATAAAGATAAAAAAAAACAGGAAAGCCCTTAATCAGCTGACCTTGATCCCAAAATTCTAAAATGAGGCTCTCTCTATTTGCCTTTAATGAGGATCAGACATGACTATTAACCTGAATCCGGACATGATATCAAGATGAAAAAACAACTACAAAGTCTTACTGTACCTTCACTAAGACCATGGTGCTCATCTCTACTACATAGTACAGCTAGTAGTCAAATAAGAAAGCCTTTAGTAACTCAACTCTCCAAGTTTTTTTTCACCTCTGCTGTGGCCAAGGTTTTGACTCAAAACTCTTTAGGTCAAGTCACTGGATTATTTCAACCAATGCTTTATCCACTGGGCCATGTGACTTTGGGGAGTTGAGTTACTAAAGGAAAATAATTGAAACTGAGATGTCCAGAAGAGGCATGGCACATGAAACTAGAACAATCTACTCCGATGGACAAAATAAAGAGTTTGGTTCAAAATTCCAACGCATATCACTTGAAGAAGTCTGGAGTGTACAGTGGCCAAAATGTTGTGAATATGGCAATAAAGATGAGGACAACAGTTCGAACAATGTAAATAGTGTAAATAGTTACAATGCCTTATCACAGAAATATAGACAGAGCTTATATATTTCTGTTGCACATTTCAGCACTGGTCATAATCTTGTATCAT